TGGATATCATTGTAACTGAAAGAGAAGAGAAAATAATAACATAATCAAGATGCTGACATTCAACAATACTTCAAATAAAAGGTTAGGAAGGAAATTGCCCATTAATAAGGGAAAGAGCTATAACAGCTACTGGACTTGAGAAAGCTGCTTTCCTGAAAAATTGTTTGAAGAGAAAGATTTTGTTAATTTAAACCAAATGTCATACTGTTTATTCAGTCAATGAATGCCAAATTTATCCTTATAAAGAAACAGCTAATATTACACTTATCAATGGTGATATTTGCTGTTGCCTTATAAGGAAACATTTAGTATTCATTAACTAAATATTTAATGTTAATGACAGTAGAAATTTACAAAGTTTTTGCCTATTAAAACAGTTTTACCTATCCCCAAACCAAGTAAATTATTATAAACTCAAATACAAATGAGCAATATTTACTTATCTCCAAACCAAGTAAATGCTTATAATCTCAAATACAAATAACCAATATTTACCTATTCCCAGACCAAATAAATGTTTCTAGATTTAAACATCATACAAGAGAATATGATTAAAAACAAATCTGATTCTGACATTAAATAACACACAGGTTGACCTATATTAAAATCAACCAACAAATACCTAAACAATAAAAAATATTTGCTTACATCCATACATTAAACAGAATTATATACATTATTCACTCGCATGCTATTGTTCCCATCTTTGTTGCTATTATTCGGCCTGCATCAGATGTAACCTTCCATGAATTTCCAGTTGAACCTTTTATTTACTCTAGTGTAGATTGTTCTAATTCCACTGACAACGTCTATAGATATCTCATCTAGTTTTTATTTAGCACTGATCAGTTATTGCACATCCTGAGTTCAAATACACATTATCTCACCTCACATATGTGCTGGCTATTTCAGGCATCTGTCTCTTCAGTCTTGTTCTCTTTTTTTTTATTTTTAATTCAGTCTACAGTGTTTGATGATTAACCTTTTCCCTTTATACATGATCAGCCATGCCAGATTTCATTCCTTTACTCCAAATTATGTCTCCTTTTTTTTTTTTTTTTTTTTTTAAGTTTACTTGTGTTGACTTCCTGTTTATATTGGCAAATCCACTGAATTTCTTTGAGGCCTGATTTTACACTTAGTGGCTATGATGTCTAGGTCAGCCTTCTGAGGAACCCAGGGGATTTGCTGCTCTGATATGACACATAGTGCAAAGCCTACTTTGATATCTCTTGGAGTGTACTATAGACCTGCTCCCCAGCTATCTGGAATCTTGAAAAAATCTGAATGCAATGTCCATCACCATCATATGTCTCCCTGATTTTTTTTCCCTCTCATTAAAGTCTTATCATTCTCTTATACTCCAAGTAAAACCTTGTAGCATTATTGCTTTTCTTGCAGAAAAATGATTAAAAAAAGATATTGCTCATCCTCTGCTTTGTTGACATCTAAACCTGTGAGAGGGAGTTTCCTTTGCTCCATCCGTCTGTCCCATTGAGATGAAAGAACAGTTGAAAAATTGATCTCATCATATTTGGTTGCCCATTTTATTTAATTTTTCTTGTGGAGGCTTTTTACAAAAAAAAGCCTTGTGATTGGTCTTGGCTATTAATGCTTGATTTTGGACCCCAAAATCTCATGTTTTTCAACACTGCCTTGTTGCTACAAAACTTAACATTTTCTTTGCTTGTCAGGTGTTTTTTTTTTTTGTTCAACTTCTTTTTTTATTCTGGTATACAGATCAACATGACAAAACCCTTGATTCCTCCCTCATCAGACTTGCATTGGAGTCACTTCTTCACATTTTCACGGCACCTGCCAATCATTTTTTTGAAATTTCCAACATCAGTTCATCTTTGGCAAACTCTGAAGTTATTAAAAATATCTCTTTATCCACCATTTATCAGTTTTAAAGCCCATTTAAAACGTTGAACCTCAAATAATGTCTGAGAAAAAAATTCAAGAAAATTATTTGCACCCCTGCAGATGAACCTGCTTTCATTCTATTTACATTGCTATTGTTTTCATTCTGCAAATAAATCCTTCACTTAGTTATGTGCCATGCCTGATACATGTATAGGCGATCATGTATCTTTTGATACATGACTGACGAGGCAGATTTTTTTTTCCTGCAGTAGGTTGCCATTTCTTTCTGCAGTAGACCAGTTGCCATCCAAGGCTATAGAATAACCCAGTCTGTCCTGCTACTTACCCATTAGCTGGAGGGAGAAGAACAGGATTCATACCAGGGTATCAGCATGTAAGTGAACATAATGGATTTGACTGGAATTTGAACTCAGCACACCGTTGAAACAAGAATGAAGAGACAGATGCCTGAATAAAATTCCTCAATCCAATCCTTAGTTATCAATAAGTATTTTATATATCAATAAATATCAACTGCTTAATAGTGTGAGGTGAAGTGTATATTACATGCTCTTTACAACTAATATTAATTCTAAAATAAAATGTTTTATATCAATAAACATCAAGTGCTTAATAGTGCGAGATGAAGTGTATATTAAATGCACTTTGCAACTAATATTAATTTGAGAATGTTTTATATATCAATAAACAAGTGGTTAATAGCAAGAGGTGCAGTGTGCATTAGAATGCACTTTGCAACTAATTATATTAATTCTTCTGAAAGAAAATGGTCCTTTGATCTTGGAGGAATTACCGATGATAATGAAATAAACCAATTTAATTTGACACTTTGCTCCAGTTCTTCCCAATTTTTCCCCAGAAAACCTTTTAGGATTATCAATGCAGAGAATGGAGAAAACAAGTTTAGCAATTCAGAGTAAATGCCTCGCCTTTAAAATTCTGGATGTTAGGAGCAAAAGTTCTATATCAAAGTTGTAGCCATGAATCTAAATGTGAAGTGTGTAGCCATGGCCAAATGCAAAATAAGTAACAGAACTATCCGACAAAAAGAATTGACAAAGTTTGCAATAGGCAATAACAAGAAAAAAAACGAGGCAGAAAATAATATACAACAAGTAAACGATATATGCAAGGCAAATTAACAGTAATAAGGCAAAGCAACAGTAATAAGACAAAAAGTTCACAAACTAAGAATTGGTGTCAACACAAGCAAATCCAGACAAGCAAACAGTGTTCTGAGTTCAAGACAAGACAGACCGGGACCGAGTCAAATGAAACTAAGAACCAGCATATTTTATAAAAGGGGAGAGGAAAGTGTTTTGCAGTAATTCCTACTTGGATTGAAATCAAGACTGTCGGAATGGATTAAGTAGTGGTATAACCCCACACCCTCTTCACACACACACACACACACACTCTCCCTCTCTCTTTCTCATCTCCGTCTCTTCATTTCTTCTACAGTCACCAGCTCTGCTAGTCTTGCTGAATAATACCAACTTTAGGGATCATTTGGCTTTCTTTACTCTCCTCAGCTGGTTCCAGTGTGTCATTTCAAGAGGGTCGATTCTGGTTTCCTAAATTCTTATGATATTGTGATTGACAGTGAAGTCTAGTGTGTGGACCCCTCAATGTACATTATGTACCATAGTTAAGAATGAATAATTCTCAACTTATGGCTGCGGTAACTTTTGTTTCTTTTCACCCAAGGGCAACATTGGAATCAGGCTGGAATAAGAACCCCTTCAATAAAATACACAAAACTATTAATAACTCTGACATCATGTTTATTGAATATAAAGAAAAACTAGTTGAATAAAATGTCTTTCTTATCTACTGCCAAATCAACTTCTCTACCGATGGGAATTGTGGGTTTGTTCTTTAGTGGCAGCAGCTCTAAGCCCACTTACTCTTGTGCTGTCTCTATGTCTGCCTTTGGGCCTGATACACTCTCACTTCTCTAAATAACTCCCCACCCCCAAACTGACTTTGATATATCTAATTTCTCCACTGCAATCAACTGTCTTAATCTTAGGAGATCTTATTAAAAACCATATGGTACTCTCTTTGTTTAGAATCTTCTTAGATATATATCTGTAAAGATTATGGTATTTTGGGGTGGATAACAACACAAATAAATCCCAAGATTTGGAATTAACAAAATCCAGATGCTTTTTTTTGTTTAAAAGATACGAGTAAACCTGTTATATAGAAATAAAATGTCACTGCCAACACTTGAGCTTGAACACAGCTCACCAGAGAGCAAACACAGGCGATCCCATTTTGAATAAGTAGATCATGTGATGGTAAAGGAAATGTATATATGGGAATTACCGGGGTGTCAAAGTGATCATTATATGGATTACTATTCAGTGGTTATTATTTGAGCAGGTATTAATGAGAACATACTATTAGTACAAGTGATATTTGAAGGTGTCTGACTCCAGTATTGTTCAACAGCATTACTATAGTTGCAGCTGCGATTACAAAGTCTCTACTACAATAAGCATTACGAAAGTGATGATGAATATCATTGATATTGCAAAAGTAGCAATGAGTGTTCGTTTACATCACACAAAATCATGTCACTTCTATAGATACTAGTAATCCTATGTTACTTTTGTTGATACTAGTAATCCTATGTTACTTTTGTTGATACTAGTAATTCTATGTTACTCTTGCAGAAAATATGAATTTGCAATTTCAAAATTACTTAAATATTGCCATTATTTTTCCATGCATAAACTCGTATTAAACTTATTTGCTGTAAGAATTAAGCAAAAGCAAAAACTATTCATGATTTGATTAGAAAAACTGAATCAGTTCAAAAATTCAACCAGAAATACCATAACTTTTCAACTTGTGAAGAAAACCAATATGTCAAATGCCTCAGATTTTTAGAGCTACATATAGAATCCTACTGAGTAATATAAAAAAATACTATAATATTACTTGTGCAAAATATTTTTAAACTACAACTTTTTATTTTCTTTTAGAGGGTATTGCCTGTGTTTTGTAACAACCACATAATTTTATTTATCTGTTTATGGAGACATTGTTTTTTTTATTGTTTTTTTTTTTTACTGATCCAACAACTTTTTTTCCATTTTCTTTAGACGACTGCAGCATTGCTCAAAAAAATGTGCTGATTTGTATCCACTAATTATAACCCTAAGGAGTTTACAATTAAAGAAAACCTCCGCCACACCGCAGCAAAGAAAAAACCTTGAAACTGAGGTAAGTATCAAGTTTTTATCTATTCTCGATTAGATTCCCATCTTCATAAGCACAACCAAAGCCCACTCCAAACATATACAGAGGTTTATCATACCTTATGGCAGAAAAGACACACAGACATATTCTTCTTCTTCTATGTGCCATGTCCCTTCAGGACATTGACAATCATAGCTCTCCACCACTTCCTGCTCATAGCTCTTCATAAATTATGTTTTGTGTTATCTCTCCTAAACTTTGCCTTGCCATCCATTTACTCGAGCACACTAGATAAGTTATGCGTTTTTTTCAGAAAGTTTCCACTCTAGATGCTCTTTCTCACAGGCGAATCATTGCGAGCCTATTGCTATTTTCATGATATATATATATATGACGTTCAGACAAGATAATCATTCTTTAGTCTCACCAGTCCAGACCTCCACAGTGAGGATTGAACTCACTACTCAGTAGTAAGGATCGCCTAAACAAGCTCGCTAAACATTTCTCCATGGCAGTAGCCCATATCTTTCCAACTGTTTTTTTTAATGAGAAATGTCACAGAAAATATGCATCCTCCAACCAAACCTGTATCCTATATGGAACTGACATACATGGCTGAAAGGTCATAGCATGTCAGGCTAAAGGATGGTTCCATATAGGATACAGGTTCAATTCCTGTTGGAGGATGCATATTTTCATCCAGAAAAAACATATAAACAGAAAATATTTTTAAATATTTGACAGATTTAGTCTATTTCATATATATATATATATATATATATAAGAGAGAGAGAGAGAGAGAGAGAGAAAATAGTAACTTTTTATCATTAAAATGATTACAATATTATTTCCTCTCCAATATCTGCATTTAATGGGTCAGACATGGTTCTGGTTCTTTTATTTTAGGCAAATAGTGAAAAAAATAGTTGTCAAGTTTCAAGAACAAAGAAAATGTACACTATTTACATTGTTCAGACTATCGTCCTCATCTTTGTTACCATATTTATCACAACATTTTGGCTGTTGAGGACACATGGCACGATGGATAAAGGCGTTAGTTAGATCCAAGTGACAGGACCCAAAGAGTGTGAGTTCCATACCTGGTTAAGGCGGTTGAGAACTTGGAGAGGGGAATTAACAGGAGATAACTCATAACTGACATCCATTAGATATGTCACGTGGAACTAGAACAGTCTACCCCAGCGAGCAAAATAGAGGGTTCAGTTCAACATTCCAACCACCTGAAGAAGGCCAGAGTATACAACGGCCGAAACGTTGTGATTAATATGGCAGCAAAGATGAGGACAATAAACCGAACAATGTAAATAGTTGACATAATACCTCATTTCAGAAATATGGACAGATACTGAAAGAAAATGTATAAATTCACTTTTATATGTTCAGGTCTTATTAAAATTCTAATCTGTAGTGAAAGAGACAATCAGCTACCTTGAAAAAGAGTTTGTGTTTTGTGTGCGAACTGCCAAAGAAAAATTACCAAAAGTCGTTAGCAAATATCTGCTACTTTAAGTATCAGAATCTAGGCTAATGTTCTTTCCTCCCCTGAATGGCAGGGCCCATCAGAAAAATCTCTCAGTAAATAAAAGCCGTTGTTTTTTTTTGCTTACAAGGGCAGGATTTTTCTGGGCTTGGTGGACGGACATGCTGGTGAGAAGTGAAGGTTGGCTTTGTGACCCCATTTTGTTGTTTCTACATTGCCTGTTGGACTGTTACAACTGATTATTGTTTGAATTGTGATTTGGCTACAAGTGTTACGGGTGCGAAACAGAAGAAATCCGGATACGTGTGATTACAGCAGAAGATTTAACGGTTTACATAGTTTACATGTACATAATGCATGCTGGTGCAAACAACGTAATTCTCCTATCGGAGAATGTAAATCAAGTGATGGGATTATGAATCTAGACTACACTCACAGCATTCAGGATTTCATTGGTGAGTGGCAGCACCCTGGAGGTATCTTAAGTAAACCAAGAATCCAGTGGCCCAAAGGTAACAATAAGGCTGTTTGGACAAATCTTGACAAAGAGCTTTTCTTTTATCCTTAATACCAATCTTAAGGGTCCTATAGGGCAACAGATCAGTTCCTTTTGTAGAAAAATATACAATGTTTGCTTTGAGTGGTTTGGACCAATAATGGAAAAGAAAGAAAATGAGGAAAAATGACCAAATTGACGACAAATCCAGAAAGGAAAGTTCTGATCAGAACAAACATTACTGAAGTGCTGTTTTCAGCATGCGTCAAGTTGGATTTAGTCGAGATCAAAACAACAATCAAATAAAATGCATGCAACATCACAACCTAACTTGCTCAAATGAAATATTTGCATAGTCGTTTATAACGATTTCTATGGGCGCATCACTAACAGCAAACACGTTCAGGAAATATCAAACTCTTATTATGGATAAAAGCTGCAAAGAGGAACGATCGTTTTATTTATCCCAAATTATGAGAATTTACAAAGAGGAACGATCAGTTTGCATATTTTCATACACTGTCTGGTGGCAAATGCTGCTGGTAGTGCCAGGGGTGGCGGTCTCACCATAGCCACAAAAACCATGATATCACCCCTAGTCAGCAGCTGATGAAGACAGGGTATCACATGTGCTAACACACGTTGTATGTTAAAAAAAAATAGACTGTGGCAGGTTTACTAAAAATCAGCCATAGCCTAATTTCTACCTCAATTTCTCAGATGAGATGTCATTATTTATTCTATTTAAATTCCGAGTAATGTCTTCATTGTTGCTATTACAATGTTTCAGTTGTTGTACCTGCTGGCTTTTAATCTGGCTAAAACCTTCATTTTTAACAGAACTCTTTATTTAATCTATAGGATAGATTGTTTCCAGCCCACAACTCATTTTTTAAGACCTTAGTAAATCCAGTCTCACTTTCCAGTCATGATAGACTTCAAAAGCATCTCTGGGTCCTTGTGGGAGAAGAATTATATCCCACCCTCCAATCTCTTTCTCACAGGCCAGATGTGGCGAGTCTGTCACTGCTCTATTACTATTAACATGGGAAGTCTTCAGACAAACAGCATTCTTTGTTTTCGTGAGGTTTAACTTTCAAAGCTAGCATCCACCATGCCACTTACATTCTAGCAAACCACCCACATTCCATCTGTATTTCAATGCCGAGAAGTAAGCTCTACTCAATCAGCTTCTTCCTGCAAATTACTGCTCTGTTTCCCCGATCACTGCACCCTTAACCTGTTCAAGTTCCCCTCCTATCTATATCTACTACCTCTGAATGTAACACTCTAACTTGAGTGGCCCCCGGGCCTTGTACAGGGTGAACCTTACTGAAGAAAAAAAAAGCATTTTTATGATCATCTTGTTTAGTAAATAGTCATGATCGTCCTGTTTCCACTGAGTTTAAATCTTTTCTATTCGGCCCAGTTATTGAACTCACAATTCTCATGTCATTAATCAATGATTTAAATCACTAGGCTTTTGTCTCATGGGACAATTCTGAGTATAGACTTTGAAGTCTTGAATCTATGTGCTACTGATTAGTAGTATTTGTCATACTGTACACTTATAGGTTCACTTATATTTTTCTTTCCTTACTACCTCTGAAGCTATGTTTTCATTTCTCTTTGTTTATAAACATCTTCCTATTGTATTTATTTCTGACATAGTAATTTGTGATGCAATAATTTTAAGTTCAATGTTTGGGCCAGGTAGTGTAGACTTAGAATTGGTTCAAATGTAACTGTTGTCATAGCCTGTTGTTTTCTGACCACTTAAAAATTAATGTCATATTTTTTCTTTTTCTCTTTTTTTTTTTTACAGTTAAAAACTCGCCTTTCTTCTTTGGAAGAGGAAATCCATGTGATTGAATCATTTGAAGCCAAATATTTCAAGAAATCTTCTAGTTCTTATCTCGGCTTGGGTGGAAATTCCTCATCCGTGGCTGCTGCTCCGAGAAAGAAAAAATGCTCTACTCACAGTTCTTCTGCTGGTGCCACTTCAGCCGAGATGAAAGAAACTCCATCCCAGGCGAATTCCTCCTTGTTTGAATCTCTCACTCCTGCTGCAACTTCTCCTCCAGGTGTTGTTTCTCCATCAAGTGAAGAGAATAATGCCATATCTAGGCAGGCAACTGGCGGAGCAGCTGCCAATGCTCCTGACTCTGCCGGCACTGCTTCCACAAAGTCAAAATCCTCAATTTGGTATATCGAAAGAGTCGAGAAGCTGAACTCCCGTCTGGAAATAATGCATAGCCGCCTGACGAAATACTGCATGATTCAGAGCATCATGATTCAGAATAAAGCGGAAGAAGCCATAGCTAAGGCTAAGCGGAATGAGACGGAGGTGATTCATTCCTTGCATGATTTTGCGCAGGGGATAGTTGACCAGTGCAAGAGCACGACTGTAGACTGCGTCCAAAAGGTGGTGACGAAGCGGAAAGACCTCAAGAGAAAAGAAAGATTAATCGCAGAGGCAAGAACTCTGACTGAACAATGCATAGCCAATGGTGATGAAGTAGGGCTTCGTCAGGTTGAGGAGATGTTGCGACAAATTAATCTCCAAAACTAGATTCCAACCACCGTAGACAGGTGATCACGGGTCGACAGATTTATGATTGATAGATTTTGCGCATGCTTGATTCCAGATCAGCCGTCAAGTAAGGGCCAGAGAAAGGAAACGGGAAGATGGCCAGCAGAGTTTTTATAAACGTCCATTTACATATGCTTGAAATATTACAATGGTGTACGCAATTGCAGCTGCATGAATACGCACAGACACACACACACATACGCACAAACACATATATAGATATATATGTTTATACAAGGGTGCATCAATAACTGGATATCTAGTTATTAGCTGAATTATGATCAGAAATTATCACTATTTGATCCATGTGATTAATATTTCTTTGGATTAAGTGCATTGACAATGAATGAGATTATGTGGAAAAATATATATTTGTCATGTCAAATATGTTTTTTTTTTTTTACATTATTAGGCTATGGATTTATTGATAGAGGATATATAAAATGTGTGCAAGCAGCATATCACATTTCTTATTACGATAAGAATTGTGTTTTGCAGGCACACGAATTTTAATAGACGTCCCTAATATTATTTTTTTAAAATGTTCAATTAATATCTACCACCCCAATGATCGAAAGTCTCACTAGAGAAAATTTTGTTCCAAGAGTTACCTTTTCTTTAATAGGACTTTCAACCTCTAGGCCGGTAGATAATAATTTCACTGTTTAAAAAACAGGGATGTCTATTCAAACAAGTGTACCAACTAAACGTAATAAGATGTAATGCTGGGTTAAAAAAATCCATTTTTTTGCTGAAAAATATGTATGTATGTGTCATGTATATTTGTTTATATGTTTTTATATATATATATATATATATATATATATATAAATGTGCATGTATGGATCCATGTATGTATGTGTGTGTATGTTTGTATATATATATATATATATATATATATATATATATATATATATATATATATATATATAAACAAAATCCAAATTCACTTCACATAGGGAATAGCCTATTTTTCGGCAGACAAAGATATCAGTTGCCAGTCTTATCAACCTTGGTGGGAACTGAGTTTGTGTCAGAAATAGAAATTTAACTGTGAAAGCTAAAGAAAAAAGAAAAAAAATGTCAAAAAATTTATCCATTTCATTGTTTCAGTCAGACGAAAGGCACAAGACAGGGGTCAGGTGAGTGTGGAAGGTATTTGTTTTAAAGGGAAGAAGTTTTATAAAATTAAACCCAAATATTAAGCCTTATGACATTAATTTGGGATTATATGAAGAATGAAATTATTAGATTAAAATTAAAAGAGGAATAAAAAAGGGGTTTAAAAATAACTTTAAAATATATAGATAAAAGCATCTAAGGAATTAATCGAAACAGAATTGGGGGGATCTCAGAATAGAGCAAAGTTTACAAATTATAATTAATATTGTGTAAAGAGGTTATAGAGTGGGGAATATAGAAATTAGTTATATATTCGAAATTTGAAGAGTTAGAGGGGAGTGGATATTATGGAAATATAGTAGCTAATTAAGTTAAACCTATATTACAGAATTTTGAATTTGTTTTTATGTCATCATTTTAACACTAATTCATTCCTCTTCATTTCATTCTTCATATAACCCCAAATCAATGTCATTAATATCTTCGTCTGTTGAAATATGAGGTGATTTTGTATTTTATTGTTTGTTAATTATATTGCTCTGTAATAATAAATACATTGAGTTCTTTTTTGTGGATCAGTTTTAATATTTTATATTACTAGGATCCACTTGGATTATATACCAGCAGATTTGGGATTTGTTACCTGTACTAATATATATATATATACCCATTAATTATATATATATATATATATCTTTTAAACATCTCTCATTAGATATAACAGACAAGGAAAAATTAATTAATTTTTTATTCAGTTTTTCCAGTGTTCTTACATTTTCCATTTGGTGAGAATTAATAAGTGCAGAAATTATCTGTATTGTCCACTGTCTCAAATACTTTTGGCCGCTTCTTTAGGCTATTGGTTTTACGAGCTGTTAATTTCTTTTCATGTTTTGACTGTTCAGGATATAGTTTATTTTTGTGTTGTTTTGTGTTGTATCCTTAAAGAGGTTACAAACAAACAAAGGTGGTATTCAAGTGAAGGAACAGCAATACACTTGTAGGATACAGGCTTGAGTCCTGTTGGAGGACACATTTTCTACAAAGTTTCTCGGACATTCAGACCGGTAAATGTTATTAATACTGTTTATTATAAACAGAGCATTTACTTAAATAACTGTATCTATGAAAATAACATATAAATAGAAAATATATCAAAATAAGTGTCGGACTTAGTCCATTTTGTAATATATATATATAATATATATATATATATATATATATATCCTCATTTATTTACATTAAGATATGCTTCAAGCAGATATGATCACTCATGAAAAATCATGGGAAATTTCTTGTTTAAAAACAGTAATTTGACTTTGCTATACCATTTCGCTCTTCTGGAGCTAAATGGTATAGCAAGTCAGGCTATATGACTGATCCATGTAGATTACCGGTTCGATTCCTGTCGAAGGATACATTTTCTACAACATTTCTCAGATGTTCAGGCTGGTAAACATAATTAATACTGTTTATTATAAGCAGAGCATTTACTTAAATAATCACATCTATAAAAATAACATATAAACAGAAAATATATTAAAATATGCATATATATATATATATATGTCAGAATCTGCAGTCCCCAATATTTACTTAAAGAAGAAACATACATAGAAAACACATTAAAAAATCTACAATATCCATATCATTTCATCCACAATGCAAGAAGAAAGGCATACAAAATATACAACCGAAACAAAACTAATAACATAATCCGCAGTAGTAAATTACATGAAAACAGATACATAATACTACCGACCAACTCTGTCATGTCCACTATCCAGAATAACCTATCCCATCTAAATAATCTTAGAATAGTTACAAACACTTCCAAAACCATTATGGATATACTAAGATTTTCAAACACTAATAGAAATAATATTTCTGAAGCAGGCATTTATAAAATAAATTGCCAATTGTTCCTCCCAATATATTGGTGAAACAAGTAAAAATGTAAAAAAACACATTTATATATATATATATATATATATATATATATATATATATATATATATATATATATATATATAACTGCCCAAAATTAGAAGGGTTAAACTTGAGCAACAGTGTCCAAAGTTTGTTCTACTACTGGGTTAATGTAGAATTACATTTGTGTTCCATCATTTGATGCTATTTTTCCTGGTCAGGATGAAAACTTTTCAGCACCTCTTTGTCTGTATCATGTGAGACAGTTAAATACAAAAAAAGATGGATTTTACCAGAGTCTTAGATGAGTCAGGAACCTGAAAGGAGATTATTCCTGGACAGGTAACAAACGATATTGAAAGATTAATATAGTCTTTATTGATGAGAAGTCATGACAATGTGTTTACTGATCCCTAGATTTTCCTTAGGCGTGTGTCTCAAATGAGATTACTGTATAAACAAATATACAAAAGTGTATATATGTATGTATGTATGTATTTATGTATTGTTTGTGTGTGTGTGTGTGTGTGCATTTATGTATGCCAGTGCCTCCCTACTATCTCTTGCTCTCTCTCTCTCTATCTCTATATCTATATATATATAAAATTATATACAGTTGGTTGCAAAAGTAGGTATACAGTAAGTTGATATGTTTCTATAATTGATACAGTATATTTTGTGTGCATATGTTTTTGATTGCTGTATACCTACTTTTGCATCCCTTGTATGGATATGTTTAATTGTCCTTATTCTGCATTTTAATATTTTCTTTTCAAAGAAAACTGTTGGGACAAGAGAAACTCGAGTGTGTATGTACCCCAACAGAGTGATCTCTACTAAACAGCGATTTCCACGAAAGCAGTTTTTGTTTGCTCTGCAGTTTCCAGTTATAATAGTTTTGTTTGACAAGGAATATCACACATTTTGGAGAAGGAATATAACCTGTTGATATGCAACAGATGTTAAATTATATCTACTTTATATGAAAAATGTTTTGTGTAAAAAGATGTTTTTTTTTTTTTATTCTTTGAAAGATACTTGAAAAATACATTTGATAACAATGTAAAGACCTCTTCCTTGCTTTTTAAATTTTTTTTTTTTTTTTTTTTTTTTGGCATTAAAATATATTCTCCCTTAATTTGTTTAACCCTTAAACAGTGGGGAAAGTTTGCCCAAACATGCACGTGACACGGAAAACAAGGAAAATAATTTTTATTTTTAGGGAAGTCGAGTTCTTAGGGAAATTTCTAATTATCATAGTTTATTTGTCAAGGAATGTCACACTTTTGGAGAAGGAAAAAAAACTGTTGAAATGCAACAGATGTTAAATTATATCTACTTTATACGAAAAATGTTTTGCCGTAAAAGATAATTTTTTATTCTTTGAAATAATTTGAGGTTCTAGAAAAATGGAACAAATAATACTGGATAGATCTTTTCCACACTTTTTAGAGGTTTTTCTTTTTAAATTTTTTTGATATTTAAAAAACATGGTTTCCTGATCTGATTAGCGGGAAATGTCTGTACAAACCTGCACACCACACAGGTTAAAACCAAGAAAATCGTTTTTTTCATTTTATGATTATTTTCAATTTAGTTATATACAAAAACTATAAAAATGATATTTTAACTGCTTAAGATTATAAAAACAAAGACATAAAACAAATATTATGTTCTTAAACTTAATATTTTCAATGGTATGATACTCTTTGAAGCATTCCATACAAAATGGAATTTTGCATTCTTTACACCAAGCTATCATAATTTTTTGGTTCTTTTCTCTTCAAGATGTCTGCATGCAGACATTTCCCTGTTTTTAACTTGTTCTTCCAGCTCTATTTGCAAGGAAATATTCCAGGAAATGGTGTAGACTCATGAAACAGGATTTCAGTCTAAATTTCTGGGTAAAGGCATTAACATTACTCATG